AGTTACGTCGTTGTTGGCCAGACATTTCCCGTTGCCTTGTTGGTATAGACATCCTGCAAACATGCTTCAGATCAAATATCCTACTGAAGTATTTCAAAGGAAACCCACAGATGTGTATTAGGAACAAGGCTAAGTGCTGGGTGGGCAGGTGTCACAGTTACTATCCCTTGTCTTCCAGCATTTTTACCTCCCCCAGAGGTTTGTTTCCTTTCTCTACCATAACCAAAGGGACTTCTCAGTCGTCTTTACCACGTTGGCGAGCTCGAAGTACTACATTTCTAGAAAGCCTCTTTGTTGCACCCTGGAACTATCTGTGACCCAGGAGACCAAGCTTACCCTAAGCAGCTTAGCTTTAGGAATTAGAGGAAACTAAACCTCCATTTTTATGCAGAAATCAAAGAGCGGCAGAAATAATCAGCATGCTGTTTGAAAATAGAATCTGTTTCTAAATACTAAACAGCTCAAGATTTTACAGCTGACTTTATAAGAAGGGAAATTGAGAGAACGTCACCCACATCATGCTAACTGATAGTCTAACCCCTTAGTTCTGCCCAGGCTGCTGTTTTGTTCTTGTTTTTCTATCACATTTGTAACCGTCAAGTACAGATAATATGCACATATAATTTTTTATTGTTTTTCTCTTGTAATATTAAAACCTTTCCCCACTGTCTTTTCTAATTGTTTTTTGGCTTGCTCCATACCATTCCATGAGTGGATATGCCATAACTTATTTAACCATTCCCCTGGAATTGCATTTGAGGCTCTTTCCACTTGTGTGAGCTTTTGCGTGTTTGTTTTGGCTGCTGGATGCTTTTTGTGAGAAAGAGGTGGGTTAAGTGGCAGATGGGCTGATGGTGCTGTTCCCACGTGTACAGAACACTCAGGTATGTATTTCAGGAAGCGGCGTACACCACAGGATGTGACCTTCCTCGGAGAACACGGGGTTTGGAGTCAGACAGACCTGGGTTTTATTTCTGATTCCACATAGGTCTGTGACTAACCTAGAAGCATTAATTTCTTAAGCTTTCCATGAGCCTCAGTCTTTTGATCTGCAAAGTGGGCATAGCTGTGCCTCCCTCATGAGGTCACGGTGAGGATGAATGAAGGGGACACCAGGGGAGCAGAATGGCTTCTCAGAAGCATCATAAAAAAGCCCAGAAAAAGCAAAGGTTCAAATTCCGACTTTGCTACTTACATTGCGAGGCCTTGGGCTAGTTATTTAAATTCTCTGCACTTTACTTTCTGTATTTTTATCCCTACTCTACAAGTTATTCTGAAGCTCAGAAAAAATGCATATATTAGTGTTGGGCATAAAATCGATGCTCAAAAATGAGCATTATGCTTGAAGTCTTTGGTGTCCCAGTGGCGGCTGATTTTTATGATAATGAGGCCAACAAATTCCACTGTTCTGATGTGTCAGAGACGAGCTCGGTCACGCTCACATTAGCCTGAACTGCATTTTATTACAGCCTGACTTTTGTAAACTGGTCATCTTCGCATGATGGGCATGGTAATGAGGAATTATTAGAATATTCAGCTCTCAATGAATAGCATATCTTTGACATTATGTAAAAACCAAGGAAAAATGACTTATGAAGACATTGATTACCTCTTCATGTTAAAGGGCTCCTTAGGATGGAGAGGCTGCACAGCCAAGACTACGGTTTACTCCATATAATCTATCATTCCCCCCGATAGAGCAAGGTGGTGGGAATCGAATTTATTCGGCGGGATGTCTTTATGTATGAAGATTTCTTGCTGCTCTGTAAATGCTTATTTATTCACAGGTGTAGAAAGTGCTTTTCTTTCATTCTGTTTCTATAGTGTACCCCAGGTAACAGGCGCTCAGTACCGATGTGCTGAGGAAAAACAGATGAGCACTGACCCTCTAGTTAAACATTAATATGTAATAGTAGCATCAGACACACATTTCCTTGATCCAGAACGCGATGAGATGGTGGTTAGCATTTTTATTGCTGAGGTCCTGGAGGCAAGGCATGTTGGACACATACATTGACTATATAGCCTCAATTAGAATGTATTACCCAATGAACAGTCATGCTTAGTGCTTGGTGATGTCTTCCACGGTAAACTTTGCGCTTGTTTGCATGTTTTTACTCTTCAGCTATGTTTACAAATGCAATCAAAATTTCCAACATTACTGCTGTCTGTCAGTCAGATGATCTGTCTGTCAGCCTCCTTTATTCAGTGTCTGCTGTGCAGCAGTGTCTGCGATCCCAGCTTCCAATCTCAAGCTATAGACCCAAATCAGGTTAACAGTGTCTGCAGAAAGCTCGCCGAGGTTTAAGGGAAAGGAAAAGCCAGAGGAAGCAAGTTAGGATTCCTCTGCCCCTGGGTCAAATAGAGCAATAGGAGGATTCACACGAATGAAGGGACCTGCAAGTCAGACGCACAGTGTTTAATAGCAATGTGGTGATTTCTTTATAATCTTTAACAACAATTTGTTTTGAAATAATTTTCCACTTACAGAAAAGTTGCAAGTTAGGCCTAAGAACTTGTGTATCTCCCTCCCTCTGATGCCCCACTGGGTACACATGTCCGTTACCATCAAGCCCTGTCCTCACCATGTGAGAGCAGCTGCAGATGTGATGCACAAGGACACTCCCACATGCCACCAACCTGCTGCTCCCCCAATCAAGAAATCAGCATTGAAGCGCCACTTCTAGCCTGTGTACAGACCCATTCGCATGTCACCAGCCATCCCAACGCTGTCCTTCCCTCTTGTCTGGTGCGGGGACGCACGTTGCACGTAGTCGTCACGTCTCTTTGGTCTCCTCCAGCTTAGCTTTGATTTTCAACTTGATGAGTTTTACGTTTTTATATTCATGCAGTTGCTAGTAACAAGGATTGAAAGTGGCTGATGAAAATATACAAAACAGACAGATTGAGGGCATCTAAACTTGAGTTTAGTTGGGCTCCTCTTGTGCATTCTCACCCTGAGCCGGGCAGCATCCCCATCAGTCCCTAACCAATGACGAGCGTGGAGACGCTGTCCCTCTCTCATGGACACAGGGGCCCTTGGACAAGTGGAGACAGCATACGGCGCCTGTGCAGGGAAAGCCCGAGGGTGCTTCGGGAGCACAGAGACCAGGGACCCCGGAGGGTGGCCAGGGCCCGGGAAGGGACTGAGCTGAAGCAAGAGGAGACTTGCCTGGGAGTTTCTGGGAGAGGGAACAGCAGACCCCCCTGCTCGGCTCGTGCTAACTTCATTCTGGTAGCTCAGGCAGGAAACACTGGAGTCACCCTTGACCTCTGCCTTCTCCCACGCCCTGTGTCCATAACCTTGTGGCTGGTCTCTAGGCTTCTGCCCTTTGTGGTGTCTTCCCAGCAGAGCACTTGGGTTTCCCTGCTGAACACGAGCCGATCATGTCACTGCCCTGCTCCAGACCCTCCAGTGGGGCCCATCTGCCTCGGGGTAAACACCGGAGTCCTTTCAGTGGCCATGCCCACTGGGTTCATCACCCTGGCCGCGAGCCCCTCTGCCTGGGCATCTAATTAGTGATGGGGTGTAATTTGGGGAAACCTGTAGAATGTACCAGCCAGAGGTGGTGCTGGCATATGAGTGGAACCCCGGCAGCTGATAGCCATTCGAGGGGCCGGAGTAGGAGATGCTTTAAAAACCAGAGATGATATAAACTGTAAGATCCATGGTGGCCATCCTAGTGCGCTTTTCTAATCATGGGATAGAAACAACCTGAGATAGCCATACTTTGAAGGTGGGCTGCTCCCTAGAACATAGCTAATCACAGATATTTCCTGGGGGAATTTATGTTTTCCTTGGGATTCCTCGTGAGTATGACTTGTGGCGGCCAGTGTCTCATTTCCAGTGTTTTATTTTGTTGGATCAGCTTGTGTTCTCAGGACTTTCCCCCCAGCAGTGGGACGGTACAGCTGAGAATGCGGCCGGCGGCGGAGGGGGGCCAGACGGGGTCTAACTGCCCTGTGGACACTCGGAGGCAGGACCTAATGGTCCTGCTGATAAGAGCCAGTCCTTTTGGGCGCCTACAGAGTACCAGGCACGACGCGAAGTGCTTCGCATAGATATCTCAGTTAATCCTCAGAAGACCCTGTGATGTAGATACTGTTGTTAGCCCGGGTTCTACAGATTAGCAAACTGGAGCTGAGAGTGGTTGTAACTTGAAGGTCAGACAGCTGGTGGCAGAGCCGAGGTTCAGACCCCACTTTGTCTTAATCCCCATGTAATCGCCTTCAGCACTATATTATGACGGCATTAGTGTTATCGTAACGCACACAGGTAAGGGCTTTATTGCTTTTCACTGAAGTTTTTTTTTAGTTTTTTAAATCCTTACCCGAGGATATTTTTTCCATTGCTTTTCAGAGTGAGTGGAAGGGGGGGGGAGAGAGAGAGATATAGATGTGAGAGAGACACATTGATTGGTTGCCTCCTGCAAATGCCCCAACTGGGGCCGGGGATTGAGCCTGCAACTGAGGTACGTGCCCTTGACTAGAATCGAACCTGTGACCCTTCAGTCCTGACCCGAAATCCAACTGTGATCTCCTGGTTCGTGGGCCAACGCTCAACCACTGAGCCATGCCAGCCAGGCTAAGGAAACATTCTTAAGATGAACACTTGGACACTGATTTTTTTCAGCTGATTATATAGAACTCATCAAAATTAGCAGGTTTTCTCCCAAACAGTCATTATGGTTTTAAAAATAATTGATACTAAGTATCCTTCTCTGTGATGGTCATAATAATGGCCATGACATAAATATATAAACTGTACCCTCCGATTGCAAGAAAAATGAAAGGTAGGAGGGCTGTGTGGTCAGTAGAAAGACAGGAGATTCTTAAAAGCACCAACTGAGAGATGGAGGTTCTGGCCTAGAAACCAGTGACCTCTGTATTATGTCGTCAAGGTGGATGTTGACTGGCAGTGGAGCTCAGGGACCCTGGATTGCCTGTTTTCCGTCTCATGGTTAGTTATTCCTCTCTCTCTCTTCATTTTGGGTTTCTAGCTGAGACGCTGAAACAAAGATTGGAAGACCTGGAGAAAGAGAAAAGCAGCCTGCACTTCCAGCTCCCTTCGCGGCAGCCGGTCCTCAGCAGCCTTCTGGTCCACCTGGGAGCGCAGGCCGAGGCCGCCCTGCACCTGGCTGCTCAGCAGTGAGTACTTGGGGTGCCTCCCCCCCTCCGTCTGCCTCTCTCAGTTCCCAGGCAGTGAAGAGCTGGGAGGGGCTGGCTGGAGAGACCTGACTCTCTACTTAATTCCTCCCGTCGTTTGTTCTTTGGGCCATTTTTAGTCTCTGCTGCTGTGTTGTGTTTCTGTTTCTTTTACAAACACTGCATAACAGTTACTAAGTGCTTTTAAAAGTAACTCAATTAAAAAATTTTTTATTGGGATAAAATATACATAACATAAAATTTACCATTTTAACCATATTAAGAGTACAGTCAGTGACATTAAGTAGATGACACTGTTGTGCGACCATCACCCCCATCATCTCCGGAACGCTCATCTTCCCAGCTGAAACTCTGTCCTAGCAAACAGGGACTCC